CAGGAATGGACAGAGCTCTGCTGTCTTTTGACTGACTCAGCGTTACACTATATGTTGTACTGGTGGAGACGGGAGGGGTGGTGGGGAAGATGTTAGAAGGATGTTAGGTGGAAAACAAGAGAGAGAAGATGATCCAGAGGTGATGATGGTATGCACTGCCTAAAGATTGAGTCACTGTGGTGGTATAACTCTCAATACAAGTATGAAATGAAAGTAAAACCAAAGGCCATAAAAAAAACGAATCTATATTGTTTTGTTTGATGAATTGTGGCATTTTATTCATGGTGAATGAGCGGCTGATTGACAGGCTGAGTACTGATGTGCAGCTGTAAGACCGCTCAGCAGTTATTCTTTTACATCACTGTATCATTTCCTGTTGTGTCAGACCCTCCTAAATGTAGGACTTTGCTTCATAAATCAACTCCATTGACTCTCGTGCACTTTCAATTTGTAACTGTCAATCAACCGTTTTACTTGATTAAATACTGCATTCGTGCATGATGTAACATGATGATGTTTTGTGCTAGACTACACTCAAAATGTGCATTTTTCTCTTGACAGACACTAACATTTTCTGCATCTCTCTCTCCTTCCCATTTCTTTGCCATTTTTATTTTACTTTACTCTTCCTTATTTTTCTCACCTTTCCATCACATTCTGTTGTTTCCATTGTTTGTCCATGGCTCTGCTTCACTCCTTCATATCACTCTGCTTGTGCACATGCCCTCTCCATCTGGACTCCTGCCTGGACCTCACAATTTTTGGCCTTAATTTTTTTTTACCCTTTCCTATATGCAGTTTCCTCACCCCCACTTTCCCTCGCCCAGTCCTCCCAACCCTACTTCCTCCACACTGCCCTCCCTTGCTATCGGCCAGGCTACTGTTACTCCCAGCCTTTTGCAGATCCCAGGCCCCACAGCCATGTAGGCAGGGAGTCCACAGACAAACACTGCGACACACAGTGGGCCCCTGCTGCTGGCTCAGCTTGTATCCACAGAGATGATTCCACCACTTATATAAACTCTGAGTTTACCTATGAATCCCTGGCTGATTTTGATGTAGACTGTCCTCATGATTATGGGAATGCCTTTAATCAAAACACACACTCGGCGTACCAGTGTAAAAGCAATTCTAAGACCAGTGTGTCTGACTCTGTTTGTAATTTTGACTCTCTCTACTGCAGTGACTCAGAGAAGAAGAATGACACACACACTAAGTCAGACACAACTGTGAGTGGCGCAGCTGAGGCTCCAGGTTGCACCACCCCATATAAGAACATTGATGTCATGATGACATATTCCAACAGTATCAATGCTATTGATTCACTGTATTCAGAAAAGCGCACACACTCAAACACAGACAACAACAGTAACAAGGCCAGGACATCCAAAGCGCTTCCTCCTCTCCCCACCTATTACCTGTACCACCCTAAGAACTGCCCTCTGCACAGGGGTGCCCCTCCCCGCCTCTCACCTATTGGAGCCCTCTCCCCTCCCCAGCGCTCAGGAGCACCCCCTCCAGGTGCATCAAGCTCCTGCCTCAGCTCCCCGCTTTTCCCCCGCTCGCATACCTTGCCTGCCCTCGCTGCTCCGTTCTACTATCCAAACCTCTACACTCCTATTCTGCCCAGTGCGCCCCCCCTACCCCCAAAACTCCACCAGGCTCCTCTGCAGTCACGTGTGGCGAGTAAGATTTCTCTCTCTTCTCTCTCCCTTTATCTTACACCTTCTGTCCTTATCAGACATCTTGCTCGCATGAATGTGTGCCTCTCTTACTGTCATTGTTCTCCGCTCTGGACATGGTTACCCTCATGCTTTTGTCACTTTTTCAACCCTGGGGATTTGCAGATTTGAAAGAACTGGGTAACTGTAGCTGTTTTATGTATAAGAAACCAGCTCCCTGCATGTTATCTGATACGTGTTATCTATGCTGTCCTTTCATATCTGGAAAGGGCCTTCAGAAGTATGTCTACAGTCACTCTCATCACTCTCTTTCTTTGGCCTCTGTCTTTGTGTCAGTTTTGTCTGGTCTGTCTCCATGTTGCTTTTGTTTTGCACGATGTGTTGAAAAAGAGGTGCATTTCATGCAAAGTACAACCTTTGTAAATGGTTGATTATACTGTAATATAAATCATTTTAAGTTATGCCTTTTTATCTTTGTGTGTGAAATTAGGCATTTTAAAAGTAACATAAATCTATAGCATCCTGTTTATTATATGAATGTTTGCATTTATGGTTTATATATACATCCATTTATATAAACATCAGACCGTACACAACACCTGCCCTTTGCACATGTGTGTTATTTTTATCTGACCTGTTTCCACTCTAGTTCTGCAGGTTCTCCTATGTATGCTTGTGTTTATATTAAGTGTGCGTGAGTGTTGTATCAAAATTAATGCATGGGCTCCTGTTTACCCCTGATGCAACAAGAAGTTGTCTTCACAGATCCAGATGTTGAACACTTACCACAGTAAACCAGTGTGTAAACCAGGATGTGCTCACACGCTGTTGTCAGTAGTACCATCTGCTTCTATCTGATGCTTCTCCATTGCTTAAATGTTTTTCTAATAACACAGATATTTTACTTATGGTATTTCTGTCTGTGGTGATTCATCTGCTGCTGATGAATATGTGTTTTTTTTATACTTCTATATGAAGTAATTTCCCTTTTTCTGTCACTGTCAGCTGTTCGCAGTGTCTCATTCGCTGGCTCAATACAGAGGGCAGAGACGTCTTGGATGGATGAAGATGTGCAGCGTCCAATGAGAGGTTTCAGCTTGTCCTCTCTGTGTCTGCAGGAAAAAAAAGGTGCGTATCTCTGTATGTGTGTAGGCAAGACCCAGTTATAGCATTCTGTGTAACTGCAGGCCATTGTTTTTCTTTGCAGCTCTAGTTGGTGCGGTCAGTGTGGCAGTGGAAGCCATCTTGGCCCAGTTCAGTTCTTCTCGCACAGTAGTTCAGAAGGTCAGTCACAGCTGGATTTGGCTGCTTTTATCATATGAAGAAGTTTTTTTTGTCTCAGTGTATGTCACTCTTAATTACATATTATCAGTCACCATCTATCCCTCTTCAGGATAAGCAGTATAGATAATGGCTAGATGGATCTATCTAGTAAAAGGTCATAATATGTTAAAGCCATTGTTAAAATGATTTCCCTCCCTTTCTTTTTGTTCTGACACAAAATATTTTGTTCTGTTTCTCCTCAGACTCTTTCAGTTAACAAGGTGCTAGAATATCTTTAGTCAACCCAGTCTCATAGTCATAATAATTTCTTTGTAGATTAACTTCATATTCCCCTCCCAAATCATCTGTCATCACATTGTATTTCTCTCAACCCCTGTTTCCTTCCCTTCCTGCCTTGAGTCATCCTTTCTGATCTCATCCTCTGTTTCTCCTTGTCAATACACATCTTTTTCCACACCCTATCCCATTTTACCCCATCACACTTTCATCTCCCATGCTCCTCTCAGGCCTTATCAGGAGACAGCACTGTAAATCCATCTCTGGGACGTCTGGTGCTGCAGTGCCTCTGCCCCGCCCTGCACAGCTTGCTGACTGATGGATTGAAACCTCACCAGAGTGACCTGATTGCAGGCAGGAGGCCAAACTCTGCCTGGGGTCTGGTCCAGGCGTCAACCCGACCAGGTAGCATACCAAGGATCATAGCAAATTTAAGTTTTTAGATTTGGGTATTAAGAATCGACTGTTTATTTTATTTCCTGCTCGATAACAATACACCCTGGACTTTGTCTGTCTACGTTTTGCTACACATCAGTCAGTAGTTGTTGATTTTAGTGTCTAAAATGCTGAATAAAGTGTACAACAGGATGCAGGTATTGATTAGCCTATGAGCGCCAAGCTTCACTTCAGTATTTCACTCAGTTCCTCTGTTGATCCCTTCCTCTCTCTCTTTCTTTACATGAATTTTCTCCTCATCCTCTCCACCCCATTTTTCAAGGTCCTAAAACTCAACTCTTGTTCAACTTACAAGTTCAGGTTGGGGAGCTGCCTCAGCTCAGACAGAGCAAACACAGGTTCAATGCATTCCTTCTTGGCCTACTGAAGTGAGTATTTTCCTTTAGTCTCCACTGGTAGCACAGCAAATGCACAAATCAGAAGCTACAAATATCTTTTTTCCTTTCTAGTATCAAGTTTCTTGATTTCTGGCTTTCTCACCTTCAGTCTTGCAGTGGTAAGTGTCCTTCATTTCCATGTCATGTGATTGTTTTGATCATATATACAAGTATCTATGATCTCTCTTCTTCTCAGATGTGTTGGAGACATACTACCATCCCACCTCTTTTATGCGTCTGTCGCTGACCGTCTGCCAGCCTCTCTTTGAGGAGCTGCTCCTCGTCTTGCAGCCTCTCAGCCTGCTGACCTTCAACCTTGACTTGCTCTTCCAGCACCACCATTTAGAGCCAGACAGTCACAGCCCAGAGATCACCAGTCCACACTGTCAGGTTGCAGAGTCTCAGCCATCAACAAAATGGTCCCAGTCTAAAATCACAGGCAGCAGAAATATTGAAAGCCTCACAGAAGTAGACTTTGGAAGCCCAGAGTATCAGGCAGCTACAGAAAAATCTTCACCACTGGCTCATGCAAAGAATGAAGGGGAGTCGACACATAGCAGTGCTGCACCAACTCTCAGTCAGACAAGTCCACAGCTGTTGTGGGTGCAGGAGAGGGAAATTGGGAAGTTACCTCCACCTAATGTTGAGGAGGACAGCCTTGCTCAGCAGGCAGGACAGGTAGCCACATCTGTGTGACTGTTCAGTGTTTTGAATCTTTTATCACTGAGTGATCCTGCAGCACTGACATTTTTTTATTAATCACAGGTGATCCAGCAAGGGTGGGGGGCTGTGATTCGCTGGGGAGGCAGACTGAGCCAGAACTTGGCTGAGCTGAGCCTGTCTGCAGGGAAAAAGGAAGAGATGAAGCCAGACCTGCCAGATCTCCAGACCCAGGCAGGAAGTGACTACACTGCAGTCAGCAGGGGTGCTCAGGTTCCCTGGGGTCTGGGCCGACTGTTTGGAGTCTCTAAAAGCCCCAATAGCCCAACAGGCAACATACCACCAACCAGGTTAGCCAACTAGCTTAGCACATGTACCGATTAGGATATCTTTAGCTGAGGAGGAAGTACTTGTAATCAGTGGAATAAGCTACTGTAATGTTTGGAAACTCACTGTCATTGTATTGTTATGGTGCATGAATGGTACTGTCTGATTCCTGTCTGCCTCACCCTCTTCCCGTCCGTTGCACATCCTCCATTCCTTTCGCCCTATTTCTGGCTGTTTCTGCAGGCGTCCCTCTCAATGGTTGGCTCCTGGTGTCACAGCTCTGACCCGAATGGTGAGCAGCAGCTCCATGCCGATGATGAGGAGGGCCCCGGAGCCTCAGGGAGAAAGCGAGCCAGAGTCAGAGGAAGAAGTCAATATACCAGCGATGAAAGACAAACCCAGACCACTCAGGTACAGCAGACATAAAGCTATAGTTATGGTAATAAGGAATGGTGGATTTTTGCATTGTTATTGACTGAGACTCGCTGAGATTGGATGAGAAGTGATAGATCAGGCTGTGTCTATCCTTTAATCCATCAAATTTACATCAGAGGCGATTTCTCATCCTGTTTTGATCATGTTGGAAGTATGGCACTGTTTGGAACTTTCTACAGTGTACCTCACTATACCACTGTTTAACTCAAAGACTGTGTTAGTGTTAAATTCTTTTAAAGCCAAAGTTGACATCTCATACAACTTTAGATTGTTTTTGATAAAGTCAGATGGTGGTGGTACAATTTAATGCCAGAATGTAGGGTTCCCATTATGACATTGATATAATTCATATTTAAATACAAATTACTAATTACTCAAAATTATTCTGTCCAAATGCAATTACCTTTTCAGGCTATGCTAATTTTGACTCTAATTTTAATTAAATGTGCAAGAATGTCACATTTGGGGTTTAAATACCCAAACATTTATCATCACCAGTGTACACTTACTTTCCTCAGGTTGCATGTTTTGTGTCCATTTTAAAATGAGTTATTTCCCCCTTCAAGAGCACCAGTGCATGTAGGAGCACCAGAAAGGCTATAATTGGTGACTCACTAGACTGCCTGTGAGCGATCCTGCATTATGACTCATACAAGAGTCAGCAACATCGTAAGTTTTTGTTTGCGGTTGGTGTACATGTAGATCATTTTAGCTGAGAGGGTCTTTACTGTGTGCCCTCAGGTCAGTACGAACGCTGTGTGACCACACCGGAACAGGTTCGGAGCTCAGCTTCTGCAGGGGCGAGGAGCTTGTGGTGTTAGCAGGAGTTGATCAAGACTGGATTCGCTGTCGTCAGGGAGACAAAGAGGGACTGGTACCTATTGGCTACACATCCCTCATTATGTGACATTGGCACCATAACTGCTTCACCCAGTCAAAAAAAAAAAAATCTAAAATATATATTTTAGGTGAGTATTGAGAGGTTAGGATGAGGCTCTGCTAGTCCGAAAGGGATATTTCACTTTAGTTTGGTTAGAGTTTGAGTTGAGTGCATAACACCATCTGTTCTGCTTTATGTGCAACAGGAGCAGTCGGCAGCCACTCTCCCTTTCTGAACATATGGGAGTTTTTTTCCCATCACAATCCATCCAGTTTGGTAGCATTCAACTAAATGGATTTTAGCAGCGAGAATGCAGCAGATGGTGTGCAATAATGACTCAAGTCAAATTTAGACCATTTCACACTGGAAGACCTTTGATCATTTAGTGAAGTATCCCTTTAAATGTCCTTTTCTCGATTTCCACCTTCCTTGCCTTCAGTTGCTGATCTGAAAACCATCACAGGGGAAATTCTGTGCAATCAACCATTTGCAGATTCAGGTGCTTTCAGATCAGCGGCTGCCTGTTGTGAGGAGGCGACAGTCGAAAGCCTGGCTGTAGCTGCATTAATATCTCTGTTTGTCAGCCGAATAGACTCGTGGCTCGCAGGTTGAGCGGAGAAAGCATGTTATAGTACTGGGCCGTAGCTCCCATTGCATACTGCGTAGTAATGTAGTGAATTGTAGCTGTGTAGATCTGTGTTCTATTGATCTTTCACCCCTATTGACCTCTCACCTTTATCGCCTGGTTCGTGTGTGTTGGACGTGTTTCTGCAACTATAGGCAGAAAGGTCTCCGTCTTGAGTTAACGAATACCTGACCTCTCCATTTGCAGTGGTGGGGTCATCAGCATCGGTTGCCCTCACCTCAACTACTTTAGTTCCTAAATGAATGTAAAAAAAATATATATAAATATATATAGGTATATAAATTGAGATCAATATTAACAGGATAAATAGAAAGATGAATAAGAGAAAGTAGGGAGTGAAAAACAAGCAGCAGTTTAATACTGTGGCCACATATAGGAAGTGGATGAGTAATAATGAATGGATTAATTCTTTACCTTTGTATTTGCAACTGTCCACACACATTAAGTGGTTGTCATACTTGCAAAAAGAAAGGTGCACTGTATGTGTTTAAAATCCAATATCTTCCCTCTTGTGTGCTTTATGTATTTGCCATTGTCTTGACATCCTACTCATCAAATGATTAGATATAGTCTCATTCATAGCTTTAAACACTATATGCATTGCAATGTGCCATGAATGATTCGAATGAATGCCAGAAAATATCTATGTTCCACACAGTTTGAGAGGATAATATCAGACAACAGCAACCTGTAGCTAATCTCACTCGCTCGTCCAAAACCTTGCGGGGCCAACGTGGGTCAGAGTAAACACCTCACAAAGCTACGATCAGCTCTTGTTCAACACTGTCTGAACTTAAAAGTAATGCAGGGAGAAAATCCATGATGTATGTAATTCATAACTGCTGCTGTAAAGTCTGTGGGTTTAGTGGATGGTCTTCACCTTGGACCTCAGCATTTGTATTTAACTTACCCCTTCCTGCCATGTTTGTTTATCATTATCATTGACATTAATGATAGTACTAGTGGTGGAAATGGTATGTTAATCATATGAAGTATGTTGCTTTGTATCATACAGTATATTTATTAGTTATTCTCCCAATTCTGTATTGACTATGCATATGGTTAAATGTTTGTTTGTGTTACAAAGTCATGATAATACAAAGTACATCTAAGAGCCTGGTTTTCACTGGTCAGCAAAGGCTGAAAATAAAA